TTTATAAAAATTGTCTGCACCGTTTTAGTGTAATTGAAAAACCAAAGATGTAAAAAGATTGTTGTAAGATTTACATTTTCAACGGTATTCTATTGAATTGTATAGGCCCCGCCCTAAAAACGTTGTTTTTGGCTTAAAATTACAATTTTTGATTTTAAAAGATATCAATAACTTTTATAACTGCGCATGACTTTGTTAGTTTGGTATTTAAAAATAGAATTGATTTGAAATAAATCTATGTAAAATAATTAATAAGTCTTCGGGTTCATTATTTAATTTAATTGTAGATAATTGCTTTTATATTGATACATTTAGCATTTTTTAAAAGAACAATTTATGAAGATCGCGACTCGCGCTTGACTATGTGCTGAATTAATTATTGGTATATAGAGCACAAAAATTATACGGATTTTCAAAGAAAGGAAATTCATTTTCATCTTATATTCAAATGACCACCCTATACCATAATAATTCAATAAAATAACAATTAGACAGTTTTCCCTTTCAGCGTATTACGTGCTTAATATTAGTGAAAATTCACGAAAACGGCATAAAATTTTCAATCAGAAATTTATGCATTTTTTATATATATTTTCTTTACGTGTTTACTTCTTACTACCGTTTCCTTTTTTATTCATGGCGGATTCTCAATTCGAAAAATAAAAGTGACCTTGTATTCCCCTCTGGAAAGGGCTATGAACTTAATTTGTTGAAATCGCAGATCTGTGATCTAAGATTTTTAAAAGTCTTAGGTATGAAGATAATTTAGAATATAGGATCTAATAATAGCCCCACCCTAACACCAGAAATATGTTTTTTACGCTTTGAATATCCTTTTTCTTAGAAAATTCAGCAAGGCTATAAAATACCAATAACTTCTTTGAATCAATTTCCGCCAAATATCCACCCGAGTATAAGAAGAATGATTTTTAAATATTGCAAATGTTTTTGTTTAAGTTTACAAAGAGGCAGCGAATAGCTAGGGACCATGAAATTCACAATTTTTGTTCCTCTTCACGTATAAGGATAGCCAAAAGTCGTACTTAAAAGGAAGTTTTCAGAGAAGAAATGGGACTGAAAATGTTTAAACATTAATTTTATTGGCGCAATCAACAAGCATATTTTATTTTGCTCTTAGACCTAAAATGTATACATATATTAACATTAGTTCTACTGAATGAACATGGACAAAACTATTAAAATTGTGAAATTGTATTAACAACAACGCGTGCCGTTACCTACACCGTCAGTGTTTTGAACTGGAGCATCGAACCCCCCCCCCCTTTTCTGTTGCCGTTAGGGGTAAATTATCCTGTACTTCGAATTTTTAATACGTAAATTGCATGTTATTAACTAATGTTTTTTTATATCTTTTCGCTGTTTTTAAATACTTGTTTTTCAAATTCGACTGATATTAAAAAGAGACGTGAGCAACTTTGTTTTATTCTAACAAAACCATTACAAAATCGTCACTTGCATAATCACTATCTAAAGCGTAAAAATCAAAATATGCAGACATCGATAAATTTGAAACACACTCTTCTTCCTTTAATACTTTTTAAGAAATGAATTCTTTATCTGTCTCCGATTAGCCTAAACATTTCGATTAAATCAACATGCACATATAGGGTGGAGTTAATTTTTTTTTAATAGAAAAAGTTTGCTCATCCCCCATTTGATGACAAAAATAGAAAGGAGAGAGGGGGTCATATCCTACATGCTTGCATGGTTATTTCAACTGCTGGCCATGAATGTATATAATTTATTTATGTTTCACATATTACCCCGGAAGTGCCTTAGCAGTTTTTTTAATTTGTGAACAACCTGTATATATAATTTGACCGAATTAGCAATATTTTCATAATTGCTATGACATCATCGGTGAGCAAAATTTTGAGTCAATATTACGTAGATAATTGAAAACAAAGATATGCAAAACATATATTGTTGATGTAGATAAATTATCGTAAAAGACAATGGTTAATAAACAGTTTGTTAGTGCATTTCCACTGAAAGTGTACACTAAAACGAGTGCGTTTTTGAAAACGCTTTATCGAGTGTAATACGGAGTTAGATAACCTGTTTTATAATTATACACATTTTAATACATGTATTTAATATTTATAAATCATACATGATACAAGGGTAAAAATTTTTTCGAAACAAGTACATTTTTTCTCAGAATGGATTAACAACAAGATAAAGAAATAATAACACAAAATGAAACGCTTTCTAACACTTTCAGTGTTGGTCATTCTGTTAATCAAAATAAGCCTTCAAAATTTTTTATAGGATTACCTGTTATTTGAATATTGTTACATTAAACTAAAACAAAAGTTATAGTTTGTACTTGGAATTTTTCCCACCTCCATTTTCACCGTGACGAAATAATCAGATGTGCAAAAGAACTTTACCAGATTTCACCCATGTTATACATAATGCATCCCCACCCTACCCCACTGATCATAATTCAGACATTTTGAAATCTACACTACCCCATGATCCTTCCATGGGCACATATGTTTCAGCTTTTTTGGCCCAGTGGTTCCTGAGAAGAAGATTTTCAAAGATTTTTCCTATATATTTCTATGTAAAACTTTGATTCCCTATAATGGCCCCGCCCTTCCCCCAGGGGTCATGATTCCTACAATTTAGAATTTACACTACCCCAGAATGCTTCCACATAAGCTTCACTTTTTCTGGCCCAGTGGTTCTTGAGAAGAAGATTTTTCCTATATATTTCTATATAAAACTTTGATTCCCCATTGTGGCCCCGCCCTTCCCCCGGGTGTCATTATTTGAACAATTTAGAATCTACACTATACCAGGATGCTTCCACATAAGTTTCAGCTTTTCTGGCCCAGTGGTTCTTGAGAAGAAGATTTTCAAAGATTTTTCCTATATATTTCTATATAAAACTTTGATTCCCCATTGTGGCCCCACCCTTCCCCCGGGGGTCATGATTTGAATAATTTAGAATCTACATTACACCAGGATGCTTCCACATAAGTTTCAGCTTTTCTGGCCTAGTGGTTCTTGAGAAGAAGATTTTCAAAGATTTTTCCTATATATTTCTATATAAAACTTTGATTCCCCATTGTGGCCCCGCCCTTCCCCCCGGGGTCATGATTTGAACAATTTAGAATCTACACTATACCAGGATGCTTCCATATAAGTTTCAGCTTTTCTGGCCCAGTGGTTCTTGAGAAGATTTTCAAAGATTTTTCCTATGTATTTCTATATAAAACTTTGATTCCCCATTGTGGCCCCGCCCTTCCCCCGGGTGTCATTATTTGAACAATTTAGAATCTACACTATACCAGGATGCTTCCACATAAGTTTCAGCTTTTCTGGCCCAGTGGTTCTTGAGAAGAAGATTTTCAAAGATTTTTCATATATATTTCTATATAAAACTTTGATTCCCCATTGTGGCCCCGCCCTTCCCCCGGGGGTCATGATTTGAACAATTTAGAATCTACACTATACCAGGATGCATCCACATAAGTTTCAGCTTTTCTGGCCCAGTGGTTCTTGAGAAGAAGATTTTCAAAGATTTTTCCTATATATTTCTATATAAAACTTTGATTCCCCATTGTGGCCCCGCCCTTCCCCCGGGGGTCATGACTTGAACAATTTAGAATCTACACTATACCAGGATGCTTCCACATAAGTTTCAGCTTTTCTGGCCCAGTAGTTCTTGAGAAGAAGATTTTCAAAGATTTTTCCTATATATTTCTATATAAAACTTTGATTCCCCATTGTGGCCCCGCCCTTCCCCCGGGGGTCATGATTTGAACAATTTAGCATCTACACTATACCAGGATGCTTCCACATAAGTTTCAGCTTTTCTGGCCCAGTGGTTCTTGAGAAGAAGATTTTCAAAGATTTTTCCTATATATTTCTATGTAAAACTTTGATTCCCCATTGTGGCCCCGCCCTTCCCCCGGGGGTCATGATTTGAACAATTTAGAATCTACACTATACCAGGATGCATCCACATAAGTTTCAGCTTTTCTGGCCTAGTGGTTCTTGAGAAGATGATTGTCAAAGATTTTTCCTATTTTTTTCTATGTAAAACATTGATTCCCCATTGTGGCCCCGTCCTTCCCCCGGGGGTCATGATTTGAACAATTTAGAATCTACACTATACCAGGATGCTTCCATATAAGTTTCAGCTTTTCTGGCCCAGTGGTTCTTGAGAAGAAGATTTTCAAAGATTTTTCCTATATATTTCTATATAAAACTTTGATTCCCCATTGTGGCCCCGCCCTTCCCCCCGGGGGTCATGATTTGAACAATTTAGAATCTACACTATACCAGGATGCTTCCACATAAGTTTCAGCTTTTCTGGCCCAGTGGTTCTTGAGAAGAAGATTTTCAAAGATTTTTCCTATATATTTCTATATAAAACTTTGATTCCCCATTGTGGCCCTGCCCTTCCCCCGGGGGTCATGATTTGAAAAATTTAGAATCTACACTATACCAGGATGCTTCCATATAAGTTTCAGCTTTTCTGGCCCAGTGGTTCTTGAGAAGAAGATTTTTTAATGACCCCACCCTATTTTTGTCTTTTCTTGATTATCTCCCCTTGCGAGGGGATATGTCCCTTAATTTTAACAATTTAAATTCCCCTTTACCCAAGGATGCTTTGTATCAAGTTTGGTCAAAATTGGCCCAGTGGTTCTTGAGAAGATGTCGAAAATGTGAAAAGTTTACAGACGGACAGACGGACGGACAGACGGACAGACAGACGGACGCACGACGGACAAAATGTTATCAGAAAAGCTCACTTGAGCCTTCGGCTCAGGTGAGCTAAAAAATTTTGGTCCACTCATTATTTACCAAACCTATTTATGATAATTATTTACAATTCATGTATTTTTCAAATCTGGAAATTAATTAGATTTCAAAATAATTTATTTTATTTTTATGTGAACCATATGGATACAAATTTTAGTTTAATTTTAATGATGCCATTCTGCGTTTTGAGTAATACTTACTGGTTTGTACAGAAAGTCGATCAGCTCCATATTTCTGAACAGCTTATTCCGAGGCATGGGCAGACCATGGAATTCACACACTTGCATAAAGAACTCTCCCATTCTATTCCTGCAAAATAAATACAATATTAATATATATAAAAAGTAGTTACAATCAATCCATTGAAGAAAATATAACAAATGCATTGCGATATCTTTTTATAATAATTATACAATATGGCATGCTTCAGATTATTTACTATTATTATTATTTATTATTAATCAAGGCTACCTACAATGATTATTCACTATTTTCATGACTTAAATAACCCTCACGGAGTTATAAGACAATTATTTTGGTGAAGGAATGTTTAATTTACCTGACGTCTATATTAGCGGGACCACAGTAGGCCAGGAACGCCGCAGCTGACAGACAATTAGCCAACATTAACTCGTTACAATCGTTCTCCTTCACATGCTTCCTCCACGACGCTTCCTGGGGCTTCAGGCTGGATGGAAAAAAATTCGTTACATTAGGATAATAGGTAATTTTAACAACTTTTCAATTTTTATGCAATAAATTTTCTCAGCAATTAGAAAAGGACAGAATAAAAAATCAAATCCAACATTATCAAATTAAAAAAAATAATAAAAAAAACAATTTTATATTATAATTTATAACATCACTTAAATCTGACCTATCGACCATTTCTGTGGCGGCCTTGAGTCGTTCATTCATTGACTGCAGCTCCATCTCTAGGGAGTGTTTCTCCACCACTGATTGGTCAAACTGCTGCTGGAGGCTGTTCACCGTGTCCTGGAGGCTCGGAAGATCCGCCTCGGTGTAGTCGGGCTCGGGCTCCGGTGTGGGGGTTCTGTCCTCCTTTACCTGTGTGAGATACATAGTATAAATATACAAGACATGATACTGTGGTCATGGTGTTAGTTTTATAATATATACATATCTTATACTGATATTATTAAAGGGTTTCATTTTACTTAGTTAAAAAAAATTAAACAATTTCAAATTATGTTTGCTGTATTCATGTCCTATACATTTGATTCTAATTTTGATAGTACTTAATTTGCTTGTCTAATGAACAAAGAGTTTGCCAATTACATTGTACATTAAAATACTATTAAAAGGATTCTTTTTCTTTTTTTTTTAAATAAATGTTTTGAAGCCTTGAATAACATAATGTACCAACAATTCTATCTCAATTAATAAAGTTTTGAGAGCTTGTCACTGATATGTACTGAAATACAGTAAACCAATTAAGTTTAAAGCAAAGGCAGATAAACCAAATCGCTGCTTTTGACAAAAGTTGATTTTTCTAACCCAGTATTAGAGACTAACAAATGATTACCCCGAAAAAAATGAATAAACATTATATATAAATAATTCCTTATATTGACATATGACCATGCAAGGGGGGTTTTACTGTGCCTCTGGAGATTCCAGCTACTCTGAATGGAAACAAAGATTACCTTTATGACAGTCTGAGAGTATTATGATGGCTATATATATAAGTACATGTAAAGTATATTTAATCCAGACACTGTTGTCTGTCTGAATCTATACATGCAGTCTGAGTGTTAAATACTTCATGACTAATATTTGAATTTACTTTTAAAGAAACCTAATGCATGCTTGATCCTACAAGTCTATAGATTTTACAATGAAGAAACATATCACGTAGTCAAGTTTCCAGTTGTATTTTTCTTTCATGCTTTAAGAGAATTGCTACATTATAATGCAGTGCTAGTGAAACTAAACCTAGAGAATAAGCATGTTCTTTATTGTACATGTACTCACACTGGAGTTTTCAGTGTCCTCAGATGTTACATTGTATAGATCATCCTTATAAATCAAGTATGTGATAATTTCAATTAATGTTAATAACAAACATCTAATATACAAACCAAGAAACTCTAACAAAACATGAAATTAAAAATATAAAAATATACATATATGAAAATCCTCGGAAATGCCTAAGTATTTCTATTTTTTTTCCCTCATTGATTTGGCTTTTGAGAACCTATAAAACTGTAAAGTTCCTGTTAAGTCAAACCAGATTTTTAAAAATTAAAATACACTTCAAATTTGTTCACTACAGTACAACACCTATAAATTATCAACTAACAGTCTGGGAACAAATTATATACAGAACATTTCCTATTGACACTATGTTAGAATCTACATAAATACTGTATTCACTAATGAAATCTTATGTTATATATTAAGACAAGTAATGTATAATCAAATTTAGCCTTTTTTTAAATTAAAAAGAACATTTTTAAGGGAACAATTTGTTTTATTTAACTCTACACAAATTTAAAATACAAAATGTCACATCACATCTAAATTCAAAAGCAAAAAAGGTCGTGGTTTGTGAAGAGAGCATACGCTGTGAGATAACGGGAAATTATTAAAAATAAAAAAATTAACAAAAATGTTTGTACTAACTGAAGGTTTCTACAAAATTTCAAATCAAAGCAAAAAACTTCCATGGAAAATTGACCTGCCTTATTTTGCTTGTCCATATATGTATCTTTTTTTATCATTTTGAAATATTTGTCGATTTGTACAATAAATTTTAATATCAATGTAAGACAAATTGAGAAGTGGAATTTAACAGGATAGTTCTTTTTTACATGAAATAAAATAGTTATTTTTATTTTTTTTTTGCTTTAATAATTATGAAAAGATTTTGAGCAGCTATTGGGCAGTTTTAATAATTTACAGCACAGTAAGTATTTGCTTACCTACTAGTATGTTTTAAAATCTCACAATCTGTGTGTTTAAAACGTTCTTTTTTATACGCTTTTTTCAAATCACTTTTTTTCTTCAGAGAAAAAAAAAAATTAACTTATTGTAATTTTTTTTATTAACCTTTTATCCTTTATATTTTTTTTTTTCTTAAAGGTCTTTCACTCTTTTTAAAAAAAGAAACACCATCTGAGGCAGCAGGGTTTTTCTTTCAAAAACTTTTACTAACGCAGAATGTAAATGCAAAACCTACTTCAAAGTGGAGACCTTTTCCCACACCTTTTTCCCCCACTAAAAATAATAGCGAGGGAAAAAAAGAAAAATATGACATGGGAAACCTTTCAGTAGGTTAGGATATCTTTACCCTTTGTTATATTTCACTTTAAGAATATCAATGATAAAAATATTTATTATTTGAGGTAATAAGCTTTAAATATATATTTAATATTAAGTTAGGAACAACTACAAGACCTTTTGGGCTAAAATCGGGAACCGGGGTATGATGAAAATCATCCCCCTCCTCAACCAGAAAATGACAGAGTGATTAATTTAGAACTTACTTACTACACTTCGTTAAATTATATTTATAAGATATGCTCATGCTCTTACTTCCATATATTCCCGGGTTTTTTTAATTTTTTAAAGTTTTTTTTTAATTTCTTTTTTTAAGACAAAAAAATGATGGGGAAATTTAAAAGCATTGGAAAAAAAAATTTTTTTAACCAAACTGGTTCAGATAGTTCTCCAGGGGGTTGTGTCCTTTCAAAAGTTCCCGGGGGGATGGCTAATGATATGGAAAAAAGTGAGATAAAAATGAACAAGAGGCCCAAGGGCCTTGAATCCTCTTTTGATAAAAATTTTACA